GGACCATGCTCACAATCGGGTCAAGTACATACCAAAATAGTTATGGACTTAGACACTAATCCAACAGTTACAACTCTCCCTCACTTGAATCAGACTTAGTCCTCTATAATAAATGTTCAAAATATAACCATTTGTCATTCTTTTTGGTTATTTTAAGGTGATTGTAAATGTATCACATATGGGTATAAATTTCCTTCATTTAAGAAAATACAAATGTTACATGTAAGATTACCGTTATTTTATTGATTAATTTTTGTAATTAATAATGGTGATTAAGAAAGTATAAAATCACAAGAATTGATTTTCGCTCTCTAAAATAATCTTTAGTTATCATCTTTCATTTTAGTTTTTCAAAGATCCAAAACCGAAAACGAAATCAATATGAAGACAAACACGTTAAACCGCAAAGAGATCAAATCTATATTATTTGTGTTCCCAAGATACATATGAGCAAAAATGACATTTTACAAACCACAACCTCATCTTTCATGAATCAATTTTGTTCCCGATGTTGCATTTCGTGCAACATCATCGTACTTCCTCACACAAATCTCGCAAAATTCCGTTAAAGAATCAAAAACCGAAGAAAATCCCATCTGAAATCCCACCAAAATAACTCGCCGCGTTTCCTCAACACAATCCTTATGTTTCGCCTTTTCGGTTTCCACCATCTTCCTAAAACTGTCAAATTTATCTTTTTTCTCGGCTAAAACATCAACTTTATTTTTCACATTCAACGGCTTCAAGTTTATTATATTCCTCTCTTCCTTCTCAAAACCAACCAATCGTTTCTCCATTTCCACAACAAGCCGGTCAACTTTTTGCTGTTGATGCTGCTCGAACCCTTGTTGGGCCCACAGAGCCCGAAGGTCTTTAGAGAACCTTTTCATGGCATATGTCACGGCTTTATCGGGCAAATTCTTTGTAACGATTAACCAATCACGGGAAATGGTGAATACGGGTGGTGGTGTGGCGGGTTCGGGGATGGGGGTTAGGGTTCGGTTTGACCATTCGGTCAATGATTCAATGTATGCTTTTATGGAGTCAATGTAACTCGAAAATGTAGATTGCCAATTTTGGATTTCAGCCTCGAGTTGGAGAGTTGCGAGATGACGTGATCGGTCATTGGCGAGAGCGGCGGTTGGGAATGATTTGACTTCGAACATCGTGCGGCTTTGCATTTTGTGTGATTCCAACATCGATTTCCATGTTTTTGTTAGCCTGCAACATCGGTTTTAGCACCATTTGACTTTATAAAGTGAAAGGAAAGTTCCAACTTCGAAATTGATATAAATTTTTGTGTTTCAGAGTTTCAGTAGTGAAAGATTCTTACCCATGTAGCAATTCGATGAGCTGTGGCTGAAGTTCGTCGTCTCTCACCTTCTCAATTCGTTTCGAGATGGAATTACAGATCTTTATGCTGACCAACATTCTGGAGTACAAATCGTTGACTTGGTCTTCGACTCCATGCTTGTTGCTACCATTTTCACCACTTAATTGGGAAGATTTTCGATCGTAAAGCTTCTTAATTTCACTACCAGCCTATAAAATGTAGAAATCATCGATAATAACTCAACAAATGCAAAAGATTTGAGGTTTTATGATTCAACGATCTGTTATCTGTTATAATACCTTAACTTCATCGTAAAGCTTCTTCTCCCAAGCGTATAACCTCCCTAATGTCGATAAATGGCTGCCGGATTCCATTCCTCCGGTCTCCTCGAAGATATCACTGCTACTGTTGATTCCCGTCCATGTGGATGAACTCCGGGAGCTGCTAGAAAGAAGACTTCTACACGATGGTGATCTGGTTATCGCCGATTTGTGCCATGCGATCGATGGAATAAACTTCTCGGAGCTTTCTGTCAGTGGAAGAAAAATTAGATCGAATTGACTTTTGGTGAATGGTGAATTGCGATGGATGGGGTAAAAGGTTTTTAAACAGTAATACCTTTTGAATGAAGATGATCAAGAGGACCCACATTGGAGAATTCGAGCATTTTTGAGAATTCAACACCAGATTCATAAGCTTTTAGAAAATGATCTTCGACGTCTTTTAGTGCGTCCAACAGTTCCCTCCCATTATCATCTTCATTAGATAGTGATGGTGTATGTGTATCAATCACCTTCAGGCTCACGTTAGCATCCGCCGCCGCAACCTTCACATCCTCCGCCTTCCGTTTTTGACCCTCATCCTCGTGCTCACCACCAACATCATTCACTATCATATTCTGAAACGGATTGAAAAAATCCCACCCACCAAATTCATCCGGATTCTGCTCATGACCTGATGACGTCACTACAGGTGGTGCAGGTGTGGGGTCCACCATACCATCATCATAGAAATGCTCACAAACTGAACCGTTACTCTCCTCCTCCGTCTCTTCCGCCTCTTCTTCTTCAACGACTTCTGTCACGGCTTCCGGAATCGCCGTGGGTTTGGATTGAGTAAGGTGCAGGTTCGTAGAGGGCTCAGGGAAGGTGATGAGGAATCGGGAAGAAGGAGACGAAGAATGCCGGGCGACGAACAACCGGAGGGCTAATGCGACGGCGTAGAGTGACTGATTGTACTTAAAATGTGCTCCGGCAAGCGCGTACCGCCGATCCACGGCGGATTTCATCAGTCTCTTCCTCTCCCTGCACACCGACACCAGTAAGTCATCGTCGTCTTCGCCGGCGGCTGATTTTCGGAAGGAGACAACACAACCCATGTGTGAATGTGGATTGAAAAGGCAAAATGGTTGGTGGATTGTGATAGGGGTGAATTGATGATAATTTTTTTGGATGATTTGTAAAAACGACGAAACATCTACAAATGAAAACCGAAATGAACCCAACAGGGTCGTTTGGGAAGAAAGTGACAAAGAACACAAATAGCCCAAGTTTTTAGTTGACGACAACCTGTATTATTAATTGAATTTATGATAGCTATTTTGATTCAAGAAATTATAGCTTAAAAGTTATACTCATTTTGTTTGGATATAAAAAAAAATACATGATGTTCTTAAAAGTTCTAAGAGTTTCTAAATTTTAGAAAGATCATAGTACTAGATTAATGGGTTTTTAAGAAAAATTATTTTTTTATGGTTTCGGTAATTATTAAATTAGCTTAATATATTAGTATATAAACAAATTTACATATTAAAACATTTAGCGTTTAATTAATTAGATAAACTTAAACTATAAATTTTACAATTTAAATTAATAATTTAACAACAGATTGATTTTTGAATTATATATCTTCATCTTTTATTTAAATGATAGTTTATTGTATTATAAATTTCGGCAAAATGTAAAATATTAGAATTATAAGTACTCGACAATATTCAATTATTTGCAATCAACTCATAACATTATTTTACTATTAGTGATTTTTTTTATATTAATCACTTTTAATGTATTACCATTTTTTGGCTCATTTTATTAAAAAATGTCTCAAAACTTAATTTTATGTACACGCATAAAATATCTGCAAACATATTAATTCAACTATATTACACTGTAAACTATTATTTACTCTGTTATTTTCATAAAACTCTTCTTATATTTACATAGTATATGAAAAAGTCCCAACTTTTTTTACTTTAACTTTTTTATCTTTCACCAAAATTTTACAAAGTTCTTAGTTTAAATTATGAATAAAAATAAGCCTCATTAAACTCTATAGAACAGATGATCAAAGTAATTATAACCACTTATTTGTCACAAAACAATGCTGACTAACATCATTCTAAACTCATCATCGTCCATATAATTTGTCTCACACAAATTTATGTCACAGATATTATAAGATATTCAATTATATGTTTAGGACGTTATTATAATCTATCTAAAAGTGACGATTAACATCAGTCTATCAAATGATTTGTTGAACAAATTATGTGTTGAACTTCTTATTATAATCTATCTAAATGTGGTAAAATCATTTCGTCAATTACTTCACATGTGTTTGTTTGTCTCGAAATTCACTTTTATGATTGCTTTTCGTTTGACACATGAATGTTTAAAATGAAGTTATGGTTTAAATGTCATACCAATACATAACATTATGATTTTATACTATGTCAAGTAATGCAATGATAGACTTGTTTGAACTCTTTTGTACAAAGATGACAATGTTATTCTCCATCTACATCATAGAAAGTAGTTTTTGAAAGTGTAACAAATGGTTAGAACCACATAACTTTTCACGATTAAGATATTTTTAGGATGAAATCTAGATAGGTGGAGGAGAGTTTTAATGCCTCTTTCGGATATATTTTACTTGATTTAAAGACTTAAGGAAAGTCTGATATTGAACATGGATGTAACACGTTCTTTTGGTAGTTGCGAAGTGACGGATGCACGTCCGGCACAACACGTCTACATATTGGCGCGACGCGTCGCTGCAATTAGCCTAATCCAAATCTTGGGACTTGAGTCCTAGTTAAAGTCACCTCCTAGGGTTTCCTTTCTTATCCACCTCCATCCTCTAGAAAACCCTAGCAACTCAAACCCTAGCCTCCTTCCTTGATTCATGTGCTTTTGGAGTCTTGAAAGTGAAACTTGGAGAAGAATAAGGAAGGTATATTTGGTGTTACGAAAAAAATATTCAATGAAGTTTCAACCTTCATATCACTTCTAATTGCTTTGTAAGTAACAAAGCTTCAACCTTTAAAAACATATCATAACATTCTTTATTTCAAAAGAATAATATTAAAATAGAGTTTAATTATAAAGACCAGTGGAAGCCTCAAAAAACAATATAACTCTGATGCAAATGTCTAGTCACGTCGCGTCCTTCACTCTCGCACGTGAACAACCTGAAAAATATTTAACTTAACAACGTAAGTATAAAGCTTACTGAATTTCCCATTATACCACATGTTCCACCACACATACAATACATATCACAAAAATTCCACAACTCCACATACATATAACTATACAATCCCTGCCATCATACAATCGTCGACTCTCAGCCATCAAACAATTTGTAGGCTCTCAGCCATCATGCAACTACATGTTCTCAATGTTGGGTTTTATTCAAAATCGTTTTCCCAAAAATGCTAAAAATGGAAAAAGAAGATTTAAAAATAGAATAAACTTAAAACTCTTTTTAACCCACCAATGATTATTTTGCAAAGCATGGAAAGATTAAATCAACCACAAAAAAGGAAAAAGATTACAACCTTTGAAGACTTTGATTCTCATGGGGGATTGGAAGTTGATGAAGTGAGGCAAGAAGCTCCAAAGTAGAAGCTCTCTATATGTATCCACCAAGCAAGGATCAACCTCTAAAACATGTAGCTCTTCACTTGTATTAAGTTTTTCTTAAGCCATTGAAACTTATAGCAAATAAGTCTTAAAGGAGAAGAAACTTAATTATCAAAGAATATGCACCAAAGTTCAAGACATGGAGAGGGGAGAGAGGAAAGAAGCCCATGACTTTTAGAGAAAACAAAAGAGACGAATTCTAAGAAAAAACTAGCTAGTTTTCCTCCTTGCACTTTCTTATATACTAACACATGCATGGGAAGGACCATACTTCGATTATGTGTACAAGTAACCTATTGTAAGAGAGCATGTGTGGAATAAGAAGTCAAAAACATAGTCTCCTAACTCAATGAAGAGTTCACGAAAAGATGAAAAAAGGTGGGGACAAGATGTGTTTTTCACTTAAGTCCATAACTAGTTAGTTATATTCCAACTAAATGACTTACTCTAATTGCCCAAAAAGTTGTACATAACATTTATATTTTGTTTTCTTTTATTATCATTTCCTATAAATAATAATTTCCCAATTAGTTGTTAAAATTTTATTTTCATAAAATAATAATTCTCCAACTAAATACAAGTGTTGATAATATTTATTAATAATCAAATTACTTTAATAAATAATCAATTAATAGTAACTTGCTATAAAGTGTGACCCTATAGGAACATATGTCATTAGCAAATTGATGGGTTTAAGCCAAAAGAACATCCTATGTGCTCATACAAACCCTAAAGCTTGAATCTAGGTTTCTCTATTGTACATGCAATTCATCTAAGACTTATTAACCCTAGATCTAGCATACATATTTCGAAATTATCATAAGAAATCAGATCTAGATGATTACATCTTCAACAATGGCTTGAATCTTCTTGTCTTGGAGCTTAGAGTCACAAATGTCACTCCTCTAATGGCTTACAAACACCACAAGCAAGAGGATGCTAATTGAGAGAGGGGAGGAAGATCAATTTCGGCTATGAACTCTTCTAGGGTTTCCAGTGGCCGAAATCTGATGCCCTAGGAGTCTTATTTATACTGGTGCTGCTAGGGTTTCAATCAAAACCCTAATGGACAGCTTAGGCCTTAAGCAGTCCAAGGAAGCTTCTGGAATAGGGCCCTTATGGCCGAAATTAGGATGGACACATCCCTAATTTCGTCCATGCCTAGTCCATAAGGCTTCCCAGCCCAATATTCAACTATCACACATTTGACAGTATAACTCCCATTTATTTAATTAATGTCTTTTAGCCATAGAATTAATTCTTAATTAATTCTTGTCTAATATTAATTAAACTATATGATTTATTCTTTAATATATTATTCATATAATATATTAATAAACCATAATAACCTCTCTCTATCTCCATAAATCACCCTGTCAAGTTGCTCTGGTGAAGGCAACCCAAAAGGACTATGCACAACTGGGTCAAGTACATACCAAATATAGTTACGGGCTTAGAAACTAATCCAACAGTCTCCCACTTGGATAAGTCCAGTAACTACAAATGTAAGTACAATCCGATTACCAATCATAGCTCTCAAAGACGCTGTCGAACTCTGATCTTATCAGTAACCTGTCCTTTAGATAAGGGATCATATAGTCCTCCGTTCTAGAGATCGTGCGGATAATTACATGGAACATATTCATACTTGTTGTCCAACAGTCTGTTTCTCGAACTCTGATTCGTCTGACATAGAACTTAATTGAACACATCAATTCACTCCTGACCGGGCCCGACACATAAGTCAAACCGAATCATCGAGGGGTCCAGATATCGCTTTTATCCTCTTAGGATAAAAGGAACAGATAAACTTCGACTTATATGCATTTGCCATTCACTCATCAAATCATGCACAACAATGTGTTTTATAACATCAAGTTACTGATGCGTTTACGCATTATCAATGCACAACCAACTCGCAAATGATAAACCATATATCTAGGTTTTAAGACCATATGATATTATTGTCTTGCGATCACTCGTGATAAATTCCATGAAGTGATACCAGCAAGCGCGAGTTTAATCCAATGCTCAAATCAAATTCATAAGCACTCATGCACGTTGCAGCAAACCTTTGCTATGTCTAATACACTTTAGACAATCTACAGACCAATTCATGACAATCTTCTTTCATACCTACTCCCAAAGTATGAATAACTGTGGAATGTTTGAATAATCTTATTATTCAGGAAGTCAAAACATGAAAAGTGAAACAACAGGTAAATAATCAACATAAGACAGTAACTTTACTTATAAATAATACTCTTTTGTTTAATCATCAAATGTAAATTACATTTATCTATTACATGTTTCGAAGCTATCTAATCTAAACTAATATCGTCCTTCGGCCCGATGCTCCTAGCGTGCTGCAAGTGCTTAACCCTACTCAGTCCCTTTGTAAGGGGATCTGTTGGGTTATCCTCCGACAATACCCTCTTCACTACGAGGAGTCCTTCTTCCACCCGATGTCGAATAAAGTGATATTTTCTGTCGATATGTCGAGATCTACCACGATCCCTCGGTTCCTTGGTCAAGGCAACCGCTCCTTCATTACCACAGAAAATTTTCATGGGCTCCTTTATGGTTGGCACAACTCCTAGGTCTCCAATGAAGTTCTTCAAC